GCCCATCGGGGGTGGGTCTCCCCAGTTCGATCTAACTTTCCAATGCACACCTCTAGCCACCTTTAAACTCCAGTTTTGAAGCCGTCTTGTTACTGAATTTGAAATCATGGTCCTCAGTATGGTTCATTTCGAGGCACGCCACGCCCACTGTGGGCGGGGCTCCGCCAAGCTGATGTGTGTTTTATACTTCTCGAGACCTGACTCACCCATCCCACACTTGACCCGGTCTCTCCAGGCGGATCTAAAGGAGCTAAGGAATTTCGTGACAGAATTACAGACAGACAGACAGACAGACAGACAGACAGACAGACAAACGGACGGACAGACGGACAGACAGACTAAGCGCTTTATAGTAAGTAGGATACATGCAAATACACCTGTGCATACAGTACTCGCCGTAAGAACTCGGAAATTTGCGCGAATACCGTGAACTCGCGTTTTTTCGTTATTTCTCCATGCTTTAGTGCTTGACGGAGCTGATTGGTCGTGAGAAGTGAAGTACGTTCAAAATTGGCTCCATGTGCGCCACTCTTCACTCAGTACAATTTGAAAGTGATTGGTTGATTTTGTTCATTCTCCAATCTATTGAAGGGGGGCCTAGATGCGCTAATGCGTGCACCCTATGTACATACGTGCAATTACCTTTCGTATGGAGCTGAAGTGCACGGCGCTATTCAAAAGAAGGCATTTTTAATACTTCAGATATTCTTTTATCACGTTGACGACAATGTCGGTCAATGTTGACCGACAGTCAGTCTGTCTCGTGGGACGATGTCGGTCAATGGTGACCGACAGTACTGTAAGTCAGCCAAATCAAGAAATTCTTAGGTTTTTTTGTTTCATATGAAACTACATTACATTTTACATTCACTTATTTACTCACTGACTTTAGCGTCGACCCATGATCCATGCAAATCTAAGGTTTTTATGGAAATATTAAGTATCGAGTCAGGAGTCATGCATCATATCGAATAACAATTAAAATTTGAACTCCTTCCAACAATTGGCGCCTTACCTCTGATCTTGTTCCCGCCAAACGTTTAAATAATGTTTTCTATGCATGTTCACGGTTCAAAGCCTCATACACCGAGATGGTCTACAAAGCCCATGATTTTGGAGAATTCACCCAAATTTTGACAGAATACAAGTTTTTCTTTCGCCAGGAGTTTTCACTTGTTTTACACAAATAGAATCTTATTACTCATGAATACAGTAAATTCAATAGGTGTCTGTCCCGTGGGACGAGGTCCGCAAATGGTAACCGACGATTAGTCAGCGCCTTCAAACGGTCTCGTCCCGTGGGCGCGCAAACGAAAAAGGTGTTATAGAGCTTGACGAGCTGAGTTCAGCGGCAGCTTTAGCTTCCTAAATACTCCACTCCGAAACGACTTATGGAGAAAAAACGAAAAGACTCGAGTTCGTGGTATTCGCGTGAATTTTCGACTTCTTACGACAAATATTGTACGCGCACATCCATACACGCGTGCACACACACCTACAGGCGCACATCAACAGATCATATTATGGGCGCGGAAAAATCACTGGCGCATCCAAAATTCAAGTCGTTCTTAAATCAAACTTTGCAACTCGATTTTAATTGTCGAAATTGTTTGTTACAATGCAACACATGCTAAACCTTCTCAAAATGCTAACCCTTAGCCTCCACACAATCCTTCGCTTCGCATATGGCACGCAAGTACTGCTTTCTTTTTTTTCTTGCTTCTGCGAAAGGCTAAGAAAAGCAGGTAATACTTCGGGTCTAGGTCCGAAAAACTGGAGGGTATTTGTCGTGGGTTATGACGTAGGGTAGCTGCTCAGAGCACTTAGAAAACCTTCGCTCAGTGTACTGGAGCATAGACTTTTTAAAGCAGCAGTAGGCTTCTCCGAAGTGCGAGTCTGTCCTCGTCTTGAGAACTTTTTTCAGGATATCCTTGTAAATCGCTGCATTGATTTTCACGCCAGCTCCGACGGGAATGAGTGGTTTTTTTGAAGATATGACTCTCCCCGAACCATAACGTAATAGGGGAGTTTCGCACCTTATTTAATTCGCCCATGCTTCCATTCGGTAGCACCAGCAAATGAATCCCCTTCAATCCTCTAATTTTAAAGACAGTTGACGATAATTCTATGTTGCTGGCTCGCGGGGCTTTCCCACCCCTCGATCGATATCACGTCAGACGAGTGTCGAGGCGTTACAGATTGCAAATATCATTCTAGGACCCAAACACAATCAGCTCATTGCCGAGTGATGAGGCGATGTTTTTCTCCCATTCCTTTTTCTTCTGTTATTCTTTTTGCTGCCGCGATCCCTTATTTACAGGCTGAAAAAAGTGAGCTATTTTTGCTGTTGCTAGATTTTTTGTTAACGTATGCTTATGAGTAAGTGAATTTTTTTTGCCTACCGTAGTCATTTACTCGCATCAGGACCAACACGTACACATTACCCTGACACACATTGTATAGCTCGTCCAAACGCCCCATTCTCCTTCGTTTTTCTAGTCTCACTCTCGTTCAGCCCCCTTTTCAACTATTTTTCGAAGCCTTCTTTCACTTTAGAAACACCGACTCACGCAGGTTCTTCGCCTTCATCGCACTATTTTCAATCCTGTCTTCCATTTTTCGTCATAAACTGGATACCGAAAATTATCGTGAACTGTGCCTGTAGGAGTTGATGACTAGGTTTAACGTGAAAATCGTCTCATTACTTCAGGCTGTCCCGAGCATGTGCCACGGTGGTTCCGATCCCAGCATATAGGTGCCCCAAAGATGCAGTGAAAAATGAGAAGGATTCGGTGAATATCTAAAGGTTATCTTTGGATGGCATCGACAGGTCAAAGCTCTGGGTATTTGGTATGAGAAAAGGTAGCAGGGAAATTAGATCCTACAATACGAGCACTGCTTTGAAAGTGAAAATGTCTTTCAATGCTCTCTTTGCTGCCCAACGGCTGGCTGACTCGCGATCAACAGTAGTCCATATCGGGTATGGATCTTGCTTTGACTTGAAATTTTGTTGTTGTGTTATTTCGAGGCAGTACGTGACACGAAAAAAGATGGAGAAAGTGGAATGGCTCTAATTTCTATTCCTCTCATTGAGTAATGGTACAGGGGTTGAAGTTTTGTTTCCTTATTTTGAAAAAGAGGTAGAGATTGAATAACAGTAATCTGTCATTCATCCTCTACCTCTTTTTCAGCTCCTCCTATTTGTGTCTCAGCGTGTCTGGAGTATGACGACGCGAATGTCTTATAAGAATTTATTAATAAGTATAGCATAATTACAGTGCAAATACAGAATAACGAATAGGCGAGAATAGGTTACACTAGGTAGCATAAATGAGCAGTCGAATACGGTCCATGGAGTCGTTCGATGGGGCAGCAGCCGGGAGCGGAAGACGTCCTGAGCCAGAGGCCATGGGTGCAAGCCGCCGTTCCTCGTCCGGTCGTCTGCCTCGAATACCAGCACATCGCGTTGTTCTCCGCCTGTAATCAGTGCTTGCATCTAGGAATGCCATCGGCTACCGTCTGCTCCCAACATCGATCTTACTGGACCCCTTACCGTACCCCCGAGACCCTTACACCTCCCCTCACCATAAACACGTTCTCGGACGGTAGTAGCGTGGGGAGCAGACGGACGGAGCAAAAAGTAGAAAAAAGAAGAAGTGTTTAGAACAATAGGAAAAATACTCACCAAAGTTAAACTGGAGTCTAATCGAAAAGGTCAGGAAGACTGGCTGTGCTGACGATTGTGCGCGCGTTCTCGACCCACTGGATCAAGCTTCCTCAGTTGCGGAGTGTGCGTAGGGTCATCCCAAGATGGACTTTCCTGAAATCTCGTTAGTGCAACGTTCATGCGTCTCGGGTCGTCCAATGAGTCTCCTGAGATCCGTGCCAGAAGTAAAGACGATGACGATGTCCATTTCACGGCCCTGGACAGAGCCCGCCGTGTGCAGGGCTACCCCGTCGTGTCGCGTAATTGAACAGAAGTTGTTGTTGAGCCTTATAAAACGTCACAATTGCGATGGACCGTGGAGACACATTTAATGCCACTAATTGACGGACGATTTCCTGACAGCATTCCGCCTCATTTTCGTTGCGATGCGAGCCAGACAAAGAGATCGGTGATCGTCCTGGTACATTAACGAACACTAGTGGAAGATCTGGAAAACGGTTTACCTTCGATACCCCTACGTCTTGCTGAAGCATAGCAATCGTGGGTAGAGAATCCAAGCGCTTCCCCACCGAACTCGTTCAGTTTATCCGCAAGAACCGAATTTTCCTCTTTGATCTTTCGCGAGAGCAAGGCTGTAGTGGCCATGGTGTCGGCCCATACTTGCGCAATTGCTGAAGAAGTGGCGTCCCTTAAGGCCTTAGCGTCGCTGGTTTGGAGTGGAGCACTATCGTCTAAGGACTCCATGAAAGACAGACCAAAACCGAAGAACTCGCCTTCTCTTTCTACCTTAGAGTCCGAAACTGAGGTAATAGCCAAGGATGCAGCAGAAGCCTTACCTGCGCTACGGGTGATTGGCATGCCTGCATACAATTGGCGTCTGAGTTGAAGAAATGTTTGGTCCCCCATTTTATATTAGCAGGCGAGGAGATGGGTGATGAACTTTTCTGATATCTACGGGAAGAAGCGCGGAGCGGCAGATGTTTATACAACATGTTGGGAACGTACCGTTCTATGAAAACAACCGGCGAGCTACGTCGAGATGCGCAACGAGATAACGGAGCCGCCGTGGAATGCGATGGGAAACTGTTAGAATCAGATCAGGCATGGGAGACTGAAGATGCAAAGGAATGAAAACATCAAATCGAAGAAAGGAAAGAGAAAGAGAGCAAACAACTCAAAAACGGTTGCGAAAGAGAGCTTCGCACTCAACTTGGGATGGAATTTTTCGCAACCCAATGGATCAAAAATAAATTGCAGTTTCGAAAACACCGATGACATATTCTTGAAGGAAAGAGTAATCTAGCGCACGTTGATGAGTACCAGGCAATTCGAATTAAGGTAATATGAAAACACAAAGAAAAGGAGAAAAAGAAAAAAAGGTAAATTCAATGACGGGTTGCTTGAAGCTATAGGCCCTCAGGCTTCTCGCCGGCGATACCTCGTGACAAGAACCTTATATATCGACACAAATACCAATTTAGACTCTTCGAGCGTTGAACGCTACCTCTCTGCTTAATTCCACTCAAACGGACTTGACTCATTACACCGTCATCTTCATCAAACTTTAGCCTCGAGGTAATCAAATGGAAAAGAGAGATGGGAGTGAGAGAAAGGAGAAAGAAAAAGAGATCAAGAGAAATGAGGAGATTTCTCACAGGAAGAAATTTACTCGCGACCGTGCTCGCAGGAGTGGAACCACTCGCTGCTACCAGTGTGATGACGCGAATGTCTTATAAGAATTTATTAACAAGTATAGCATGATTACATGTCGCAAATACAGAATAACGAATAGGCGAGAAGAGGTTACACTAGGTAGCATAAATGAGCAGTCGAATACGGTCCATGGAGTCGTTCGATGGGGCAGCAGCCGGGAGCGGAAGACGTCCTGAGCCAGAGGCCATGGGTGCGAGCCGCCGTTTCTCGTCCTGTCGTCTGCCTCGAATACCAGCACATCGCGTTGTTCTCCGCCTGTAATCAGTGCTTGCATCTAGGAATTCCATCAGCTACCGCCTGCTCCCACATCGATCTTACTGGACCCATTTCCGTACCCCCTAGACCCTTACACTGGGGTCAATAAGAAAAAGCTTCCAGTCATCGTATTTTTTGGAAATACCCCAACTGATTCATTTGACTCTCTTTCAAAGTGCTCTGGAACCTCCATACAGTTTTTTGGATTCGTGTACTTGCAAGCTAGCTCAACAGCTTTCACACCCTTCTGCACATTTCAATGTATTGTTGCTTAAGAATGTTTTGGCGCATTATGGAAACCTTTTTCCCCTTGAAGACAAATGCTTCAGGAAACAGTCCCTGAGTTCTTGGCGAACATGAAAAATATTCGCGAGGACTCGAGGTATTTGCACAAGATAACATCTCCGGAAGCGATATCAGAGCAGAAAATGGAAGTCGGGTTTGATATTGACGAGTCCTTTGTCAATGAGGGTAAGTGCAGCTCCTAATTCCTAACATTTGAAAGAGTCAAGAGCAAGTGAACATGTTTAGAGCAACATGTTTTAGGAGAACATCTGGAGAATAAAAATCTAGGCCGCTCCATCATTCCAGCAACTTCGTCTGAAAACAATTTCGACTCCGATAAATCCTCTTCTGAGCCAGAAAAACAACTTGTGAACGACTTGTTGGCAACAAATACCAGGAATCTGCCTATGAAAGGAGTGACTCCGCCGCCTACACAGTTGCCATCGAAGAAATCGCTCGGTTTCGGAAAGCAATCCAAGCTTCTTACGCAGAAAGGAATTTTGAAGAAGGTATACTTCACTTAATCGGAAATTTTGTCCAGAACTTTTTGCCGTTTTCTAGAGTGCTAGATTTCATTCAAGGTTGTAGGTTCAAGCATTGGTACGCCGAGCACGTCTTGATGATGAACAGAAAAGAGAGAAGGGGGAATTTGCAAATTCTGCTGAGATGCCTGTTGATACTATGCCTAAAATAAACAACGAATATGGAGTAAGCTGAGATTTTATTAACCTTTTTCGGGTTTCTTAAGCATTATTCTTACCCTCAAGAAAGAGAAAGGTCATCATCGGATGATGAATGTGATATTTTTTCCATTGGTTCCAGCATACCCTCATGATCTGGCAAGCAATCCCTTCTATTTTTTGGATTCCAGCGTTCACGGATTTCTGTCGCTAGGATTTTGGATTTGGAAATTTTCTATCACAAATTAGTAAATTTAGATTCAACTTGTTTCTCAAGTTATCCTCACCTGAGAACTACTGAAAATATAAAGTTCAGTAAGAATGTCAATGTTCATGAAAATTTACTGCAAAGTTGTAGATTCTTGCAGAAGTACTCACTCTCCAGGCCCAGCACATCGCATGTGCGGATGTGTCTAATCATGTATGTATGTATGTATGTATGTATGTATGTATGTATGTATGTATGTATGTATGTATGTATGTATGTATGTATGTATGTATGTATGTATGTATGTATGTATGTATGTATGTATGTATGTATGTATGTTCCTGCTTTGTGATTTTGATGTAATTGAATTTTCTCTTCTTTCGTCATCAATTGTGTATTGTACATAGCCAAAGTTCAGTGGAATATTTGATGAAAAACTGAGGATTCAGCAGTTTTTGTGAGGGCGCGTTCAAGTCAGTAAATGCTTCGTCAGGGAAAGAACTGTGGCAAAGGTAGTAGAATGTCTGCAGTATTCCATTAGCTAAGACTGTAAATAGCTAAGAGGCGGCAGGCATGTGAGTATGTGGTTGTCGAAAATTCGAATAACAGTTCTCTCTTTGCTTTTTGTGGATGTAGTGAAATGGAGGAATCTCGATATGCTTATTTCTCCGAGCTTCATCTATTCTACTAATTCTTTCCAGTTCTTTCCAGTGGATAGTTTTCAGAGCTATTGAAATCAATCTTTGTTAGTCGGCTTTTGGCATTTAGCATTTGGTTGTTTTAACATTCAACGGAGCTCATCCCTGCCAGAACTTTCTGCATATTGTCCTGGAATTCATCCCAACCCTCCGCTAGTAGAGCGAAGACGTCAGCGTAGAAAATGGTCCCCAGTGTTCCAACCAGGAATCTTCTTGTAGTTGCATTCAGTGTTAATAGGTAGAGGAACGGGCACAGAATTGAACTATTGCGCCCAACCGTTACGCCGTTACTTCTACGATTGGGCCGTAGGGAGTTGAAATAGTTTTATTGGACCCTCGCTTCGGAGGGTCTGCACCTTTCTAACCAAAAAGTTGTTATCTGTTGTAGAGTTTTCTGATATGCATGGAACTGGAAACCTAAAAACTCTGAAATCAAAACTCTGAAATCCATGCAAGCTTCTTCAATCTTGAGTCGTCTGACCGCTCGTACACTTCTGTCGTGTGAGCAGTCAACCTAATACTTCCGTGGTTGGAATACTTCCCCACTCCGCTTGAATACGCAAACATCCATCTTAACGACGTCCTAGCCTTACTTCTGAATTATTCTGAGACTTCATTCATATTTGATGTAGCCGGGCTTTTCCACAGTCGGCCTTTGCTTGAAGCTGTACCGACACCCTTTTTGTAGCTTTGCATGGTTTTTGCGTGGACANTCTAAGTGCAAACATGATACCACAATCCGAATTACTAAGACATCTCCGATCCGCCTCAAGATTCGATGGGTTTGTTTAGGTCTCCTATCGGCAGGTTTTGCATTGCATTGCATTGCATTTCTAATAGGTTGATGCATAATTATTGCAGATTTTTTTTGCGGCTCCTTTTCTCTCGATATAACTCGGTTATTGAATTCTGGATTCGAGAAAAATATTCTTCTTTCTTTCCTTGACAGAAATATGTCTGAAAAGTTACCTTCATATGCCCCACTTCATGCCCTATTACTTCGAGAAAGGATGGAAGCGGGCACAGTCATAACGTTATCTCAACAAACTTCTTGACGATTGATCAGTCAGCCAAAGCTGAACAAGGAATGGAGTTTGCTTCTACGTTCACCCCATTCACGAATAGAAACTCCTGTGGATTACCATGTCAGTCGTCTTTTGAAAAATGGGCTGGCGAGCAGAACTTTCGACGCATTTGATGGCTTGATGACCGACGTCAAGGCGTGGTTGCCTCCAAGAATCGAAACTTCTTTGCCTGAGGAAGTCGACTGCCTAGCAAATGAGAAGCAGTGCTTGGCGTAGGTGGTGGATATGTTCCGCGGTAATTATTTGAACATGTTTTTGCTAAATATTTCTATCGCTTCTCTAAGCAAAATTCGGTGAAAAAATCCGCAATAATCGTGCATTAACCTAATATTCTCCTCGGGAGATTGGTCTATTAGTTTTTATAAACAGTTGTAAACATCAACTGAAGCATTGTAGTTCAAATGCCTAAGAGTAGATCATATACGAAAGCTCTTCATTTGATATTAAATTCAAGATCCCTGGGGAGCGCTCATTCAGCACGAGAATGTGGATTACTAGGTTACATATTGTTAGACGCTGACTTGACTGCAGTGATCGTAACGCTGGTACAATGGACAACAGAATGAAGGTAGATGAACATAATAAGGGTAGTGTTGATGATGCTTCAGGAGTCCTCTGTCGATTTCAGTTCCGGCCAATTCCTTTTTTGGTGATATGAAATGACGGTGAACATTGATCAGCAAAATGTTTCACAAGGGAACTGTAGTAAAATCATTAAGGAGCTGGTTAAACATGCCAAGGAACTTGACAACGAGTACTTCGAGTCGATGAAGCATCGGGCAGAGAGAACTAGATTGGCAGGAATGGTACCAGTTGTGACCGCCGCATGTCAGGTAAATTTCAAAGCTAGATATCCACAAGTAGGCCATTAGTCTTGGAAGGTAAGACCACACTGTATTAGGTTGAGTCATAAGTCCTCGAACAATGTGATAGTGATGACTTCTAGAGATCACAACTCGGGAAAGAGGAGGAAAATGGTCGCGCGAGGAATCGTTAGACAGAGTATAAAAAGTCTTCCATCCACATGTCAACAAACACACCTAGCTGTTTCCTTCCCTGCAACCATGCCCCATGATTTCAAGTCGTCGCAACTCCACCTCCGCAACACCATCCTATTTCTTCCTTTATCTGATCGAAACTAGCGCCAATCGATAGACTTATAAAGGAAGTTTACAAGGAGGACGCCCCTGTTGGAAGCATAATTTACAAGTGGCACTCGAAGTTCGCGTCGGGCGACTATTCCATCCAAGATGAAGACCGTCTGGGACGTTCAATGGAGTTGGATTTGGACGTGCTGCGGAGCCAGGTGGAAGCCGATCCGTATCAGTCTACTCGTGAACTGGCAGTCACTCTTGGGGAGAGTCAGTCCACAGGCATTCGTGGATTGAAGTCAATCGGCAAGGTGCGAAAGCTCGGTCGATGGGTGCCTCATGCTTTCAAGCAGTATGACATGGATCGCCGCGCTTTTCATGGCACTTTTTCTCCCTACGGTCAAGCACACCCACCCCACTTGTGCCTCGAGCAATTAATCACCGGGGATGAGAAGAGGATCCTCTACTCTAAAGTCGCCGGCGTGCTCAGTGGAGTGACACAGGTGCGGATGCAAAAGACTTCCCTGAACCCAACGGACGCGCCAAGAAGGTTATGCTCTGCATTTGGTGGAGCGTTCACGATGTGGAATACTGGGAGCTGCTAGGCGACGGATGTGCAGTGAACGCAGACGTCCACATTACGCAACTGAGGAATTTTAATGCGATCTCGAAGTTACATGTCCACAGCAGCAAAAAAATTATCTCCAACACGACAATGCTCGGCCGCACATTGCGAGAACGATAAAAACTGAATTAATGAACTTCGGCTGCACAATTTTGCCATACTCAGCTGTTTCCCAGACTTGGCTTCTTCGAATAATCATCTTTTTCCCCTCCCCGTCATCTGGGTGGTCAAGCCTTTTGAATTCGCGACATCAGAAGGGCACTCGAGCAGTTCTTAAAAGGANATCCTTCAGCGTTCTGGAGCAAAGGCATCTACGATCTGCCCATGCGTTGGCAGAACACCATCGATCTAATGGGGCATGTTTCATATAATTCGCAATTATCGTTCAAAAATTTTAAGATAAATATAATCATTGTCAATTTGTCCAAGGGCTTATGACTCAACCTAACAAATTGGTAAGGTTTTGAAGGTAAAACGCATCACACTGGCTGGTTGGGATACGCCAACACGCTGAACTCCTATTCAAAACAAGGGCGATTTCTTGTCTGGGTCTAATACATGCAGTTGTCCTTTGTGGGATCGCAGTGCGTGGGTGCATCCTTTTGGATAAGTGCGGAAACTTATATTAGTAAATTTCATAATTTCATTTAGGATTGCTGTTTCCCTACAGAGGAAGTTGGCGAAAGTGTCGGGTTCCGATATTTGTTAAACTCCATCCATAAGACTGCTATGTTCCAAAAACATGGAGTGAGTTTTGTTATGCGCTGGTAGTGGATTGACACGACTCTTTTGTGAACGATTCTTATGGAAAACTGATAATTTCAGGTAAAATATGAATGGGGTCCGTTGTGTTGGATGCATGAAGCGCCAAAACTAGAGGACAATTACCGTAATATAGTTCCTGGTGAGCTCACGCAAAGGTCGTCTTGGCTTTTTCTTCTCCATCGTGCAAGCACGATGGTCTCGAAGACCCGTTTTTGTTGAACCCTCGCCGAAATTACGACAATATTAATTATCAGCCAGTTGTGCCGCCCGGCTAACGCCTCCTCTCCTTCCTATTACAAGGTCAGAATGTCCGCTTAGGGTGTGCCACTCACAAGTTGAGTACAATTTCATCAACGTGAATGTCCTCGGGTTATACTTTCGAATTGGATTTATGACGGCACTACCTTCTCTAACGACGAAAGTGTTGAAGTCAGTTTTGGAGTACACTGTCTGATGAGGCACTAATCATAATATTGGGTTGTAACATAAGTTCGTAGAGTTTTTCACAAAGACTTCTTTGAACAAAAAACAATAATTATAATAATAAATCATTGAATAGGTTATTATAATAATCAGCCAATTCACGAATTGTTTGGCGACCATCTTCCTTCAATAGTGCCTTCAGATGGTCTTGGTCGAATTCTACAGGTCGTCCGCTTCAAGGCGTGTCTTCGAGGTCAAAGTCGCAATTTTCAAACTTTGCGAACCATTTTCGTGCAGTAGACACACCTCTGTAAGACACCATCCCCGTACACACTGCATATCTCCCGAGCGGTTTTGGCAAGAAAAGCAGATGTCGAAAATACTGATTTTTTTCCTCCTGGATATTCCATTTCTGAGCCAGAAAAAAGACGAACAATTAAATCACCCAAAAAACAGATAAAGCAGTTTCGTAGAGGAGAAAGAGCTCTTTCGAAAGAATATATACACTTAGCTGAAAAACAAAACAATTCGTTGTCAAATAACTCTAACGCAAAACTCTACGAACTTATGTTACAACCCAATATTACTGATTTTATAAGGACGCTAGCTTATTTAGGGACTATTTTGGGAGTAATGACACTCCACTATTCGGTATGTTTAGCTGATCAAGAGTTGTTGAGAGAGGAAGGGTTTGTGAAGCGTTTCTTCGCAGGAAGAAATGATAGACATAGCCAATTTTGATTTTTCCATTGAACAACTACGTTCCTTACTGTCTGTCTTTTTCCTACTTGTAGGTTTAATGGTTGGTAGCAAATCAATTGCAAAGAATCGCTATCCTTACTATACATAATCCACAAGTTAGGTGTTTCTGTCTGTAAGTATGTACAGTACTCGCCGTAAGAACTCAAAAATTTACGCGAATACCGCGAGTTCGCGTCTTTTTCGTCTTCTCTTTATAAATCGCTTCAAAATAAAGTAATCGAGGAGAAGAAATACCATTGAACTCAGCTCATCGAGCTCTACAAGTTGATACTCTAGAATGTTGAAAATGCTTTATTTTGGATTGCGCCATGCACTTGAGCTCCATCCGAAAAGCGATTGCATGCATATGAGGTGCACGCTTCAGTGCTTGTAGGGACTCATTGGTGCCTGAATGTGATGTGTTCAGAATTCGCTTTGGATTTCGCCACGCACTCAGTACTTTACNCTCTTTGTTGTCTGCAAGGCTGTTATAGTACACCCTATCACAGATCAAAATTTCTCCCTTGGTATGGCCCCAAACTTCGGACTTCGTCAAGCCCAAATAATAAAACAATGTTTTTTCCCTTTCCATTGGCCTTTTTGTAACTGAATTATACACTGTTGGATTCTCCGCGAAAAATGCTATCGAATGATATATAGGTCAACCCGAGACGAAACCTCCCTCCACAACCGCTTTCTACAGTACGCCTGTCTCTGAGCGGTTTTCTGCAGGGCGTGTTTGGATACGCATGCGGCTGGGTACTGTAGAGGCGGGAATTCAGAGGCTTTCGAATGATAATTATTTGGATGGGGGATTAGATCTGCTGGTGGCGGGGTACTGAAGCGGCGAGAAGGGGGGTTGGATTGATAAATGATTACTTTAGTGGGGGGGTAAGATCTGCAGGGGACGGGGAACTGTAGTGGCGGGAAAGTGAGGCAGTTTGAATGGGAGTTTTGAGACGGTCTGAAGGACAGGTTTCCATCGTTCATTCATAAAGTGGAGGCTAAAGATAAGTGCATCTACGGTCTCTGCACTCAACACTCCTCTTGACTGGTTCCACTTAGGTTATGACATCAATTTACGGCAAAATAAGGAGTCGATTTTTTTGGAATTTTTCAATTTTTGGAGTTTTTCTGCGGAGCCTGAGGAGTCGGCAGCGAGGCAATCCATTATTGTAGACTACTCTTTGTGTTCTTTGGGACTGTTATGGTACACCCTATAAAAGACCAACAGTTCTCTCCAGGCACGGCTCCAAACTTCGAACTTCTCAAGCCCAAATCATAAAACAACGTATTTTTCCTTTCCGCTGGGGGAAGAAACAATTCTTGGATAGCACTTTTACGGAGAATCTAACAGTATACAATTTAATTGCAAAAATTCAAGCGGCAAGGGGAAAAGCATAATTTTGTGATTTGAGCGTGACGAAAAGCGAAGTTTGGAGCCGTACCAAGTGAGGACTGTTAATCTTTGATAAGGTGTACCGTAATAACTCAGAGGAACACAAAGAGTAGTTTACAATAATGGGTTGTCTCGCTGCCGACTCCTCAGGTTCCGCAGAAAACTCCTCCAAAAACTGTAAAATGCCAGAAAAATCGACTCCTTATTTTGCCGTAAATTTTCTCACTTACCCACTTTCCCGCCACTACAGTACCCCGTCCCCTGCAGATCTTACCCC